GCATCAAACCAGGAGTTTCAACTATACATGGAAACCAATGGCTCAAAATTAGGAGCAATAGCAATAATAGCAGTTAGACTTATATACCGCTTCATAGGGCTTTAAGCCCTCTCTCAGTGGTTTACAGAGAGGCAGCATATTGCCCCCAACAACAATCTGGGTCCTCATTTTACCCACCTCGGAAGGATGGAAGGCTGAGTCAACCCTGAGCCGGTGAACCGCTGAACTGCTGATCTAGCAGTCAGCTGAAGTAGCCTGCAGTGCTGCATTTAACCACTGCGCCACCTCGGCTCTCTGGCTGTGGTTCAGGGAGGGAGGGGCAAAGGGGGGGCAGGGGGTAGAGGGAGGCAAGAGGGAGGGAGGGTTCCTCCTTGAAGGTTCCCCCCCCCGCCCCTCCCAAATGCTCTCTCTTTGGTCCAGGAGGAGGGGGGAAGAGAGGGAGGGGGAAAGCACTCCTCCCGCATGAAACTCTTACACACACACACACACACCGCTCCTCCCAAAAGTGCTGTGTATTTGCTTCAGCGGGTGCACCTGGACATCCAGGTAGGGGAGCACGCCAATAACTATCCGGAGATCGCCGCCAAGGATAAGCTGACGGAGCTGCAGCTGCGAGCGAGGCAGCTGCTGGACCAGGTGGAGCAGATCCAGAAGGAGCAGAACTACCAACGGGTGAGGCTGCCAGAGACCACCCCCCCCCCCCCGGGGACCCCCTTTATGCTGGCTCCCTGGCAGGGAGGGAGCCAAGGGGAGTGGGGGCAGGTGGGCTTTCCTGATGCCAAGGTGCTGCTTGCAGGAAATGGACAGATGCTTGAAATGCATTTGAATATAAGTAGCTGGGGTTGGCAGTTGAGCCGTTGATCTAAACTCTGAGCTTGGCCGTTTAGTTGGAAATGGAGTCCGAATGGTGACGAAACTTTGGAAAAGCGAATGTTTTATCCCCGGGACTGCTAAGGAAGCTGAGCTTGGGTCACTTTTGCACACAACAAAAGAGAGAGACCACAATATGACTATCCCAAAGCCCTTACAAGCTGTGTTGGCCTTGAGCCAGAAGGAGGAGGTGGCTGTGTAGCCTTTTAAGCTATTATAAATGGAGGTGCATGAAAAAGCCCACGGCATTTGACTGTAGGTAAACTTGCTGACTTTCTCTCTGCGTGGGGTGAGGTTGGCAAAGTGGTAGAAGATGCTTGGAATGCGAAACTGGAATCTCAACTAGGCCTGGGTCAGGTGAAGGCAGCAGTTGAACGAAGCGTGACAGGAGGAGTTGGGCCAGGCTGGTTCTTGAGGCTGACCGTTTTGTTCCCTTTGCAGTTCCGAGAGGAGAGGTTCCGCATGACCAGTGAAAGCACCAACCAGCGGGTCCTCTGGTGGTCCATCGCGCAGACGGTCATCCTCCTCCTTACGGGCATTTGGCAAATGAGGCACCTCAAGAGTTTCTTTGAAGCCAAAAAACTGGTTTAATGTCTTCAGCATCACATAGGTCACTATTCACCAATGCCCCATTGTTGCTTTCCATTGAGGAAATCTTGATTTTTTTAAAAAAAGTACTAAACTGAGAAAGACAATGCCTCTGCCCCAATTAAATACATCCACGAAAACATCTCAGATGTGACCATATTTTTGTCCTTTGAAGTGTGTAAAGCTAGCGGTAAGGAAAGCTTGCCTTGGTTGTCAAGTTTTCCTGGAACATTCTAAGCTGCTTTGTAAAAGACTGAGAAGGTTCCCTCTATGACTTCTGCAGTTTGCCTAAAAGCTTCAGACTTCTAAAATCCCTTATAACTCTAAAACTATTCAACAGAATAGAATTAGTGGGGAAAAACAGATTTACACCAGAACTGTGCAGCACACCTTCCTTATTCAAATACCATTGATCTAAATATTGTTTAGCATTTCAGTGGTGGTCAGACAGCCAAGGGATCAAAGGATTTCTTGCTACATTTTCTCTTCAATCCTTTTTTATTTTTGGTAGTTCTCGGTTTTGTAAGCACAGAATTGGTCTTGGCTGGAGAGTCATTGCAGACGAGGGAGGGTAGAAGTTGTCTACCTCAAGGTTTGTTGTAAAGGGCGAATAAAGAAGCCCCCTAAATTTGTAAATAGTTTGACTTAGAGCTACCCTCAGATGGAGATATTCCTCGAAGAGCATAGCGGTATCATCTCTTCATACCAGCCTTTCTGTAATTTGGAAATAGAACCTGTAAATAATCCAGCTATGGAACAACACTGGGCTGCAGTTTTGCAGCAGAATTGGACCTCTGAAGTAGTGGGACTGAAAACGGGCCTTTCTCCCCTTCTCTGCTTGCCTGAGCAAGTTTGTCATGAGGCCCGTTTTACACTTTTGGATTGAAAGAAAGCTTTTTTGAAAGAGGCTTTCTTCATGTGTTGGTGGGAAAAGTAGGTATAAGCAAGTGTGAAAGCCCGCTGAACTGTACAAGTCCACAAATCCTTAACAGCAAAAAGGCTGAAAAACCCATTTAACCACTTCCACAAGACATTTTTGGATCATATTCCAATGTTTATTGGTCTACACTTACAACCATTCGTTTAGTGGCCAAAATTGCTACGTCACTGAAAAAAGTGATCTAGCCTTTTTCATCTGAGTTTTGTGGCATCCTTATTTGTGATGGTTGTAGTTTCCCAGGGCCAGGTGATTCCCTGTTGCGACCTGACATGCACAATCAATGGGGGAGCAAGATTCACTCAAGAGCTGTGTTACTTGACTCTAGTGATTCACTTGACAACTGGCAAGAAATCATAAAAGCCAGCACTTAACATTCCTTAGCAACACATTTTGGGGTGTGAATTGCAAATCAATTACCTGTGTATAAAAAAATGTACCCTCCCCCTCCTCCCATCACAGGTAAAGGGAACCATGTGAGTTGCAACCCTGAAAACAGGCAGATGCATGGGATTGCCTTATGCTCTGAAGGAAGCCCTTCACGGAGCTTCCTAGCCCCCAACAATCTGGACCCTCATACCTGGGTGAGCTCTGAGCCTGAGCTTACAATACCCAGCTTGGGTAATGAAATACGTGGCAAGAAAAGAACCAACCTTAGAAGGTGCCAAGAAAGCCTTATTTGAACCCTGAGCTACACACGTTCTCCTTTGTTGGCCTCTGGGGTACAAGGACCGTATGTGTTGGTGTCGCCAAAGGCTTTGAGCAGCAGCCCTACTTGGCCCAGGGAAATAACTTCGGAGCCCCAGGAGGTGAAGGGCTGCTCTCGGCAGCCTCACCCACCACGAGGTGCCTGCCGCCTGCCAAGGGTTCCGTCCTTTGCAAGGCCACATCTGGGCAGCTCAGGTCAAAGCAAAGGCCGCCCTCCCCTGGGAAACAGAGAGCAAAGCCACCCGCAGCATCGGCCTGAGCATCAGGAGGAAAGCGCCCGAGGAGCTAAAGCCCTCCTCCTGCCAGCTCTTCGCCCTCTCCCAAACCAGCGGGGAGGAAGCGACTTCGCAGCTGGGCACAGTCGCTTTCGTCGATGCCCGGGCAGCCTGGCGTGTCGTTCGCCCGCCGACCATCACAGGGCGCTGTGGCGGCGCTGGGCCGCTCTGCTCGCGCGGCTTTGTGATCGCGCCCTACGACCTCTCCCGCCGCTTCCGGCAGCAGTGAAAGCATGGCGGCGGAGGGGAGCTTCGGCCAGATGGGCCTGGACGCGCGGCTCCTGCAGGTAGAGGCCGGGAGGGAGGGACAGCGGGCAGGCCGGGGCCGCCTCCGGCGCGAGTGCTGAGCGGGCATTGTGTTTGTTCCCTGCAGGCGGTGGCAGAGCTGGGCTGGGCCGCGCCCACCCCCATCCAGGCGAAGGCGGTGCCGCTGGCGCTGGAGGGGAAGGACCTGCTGGCCAAGGCCCGCACCGGCTCCGGGAAGACGGGCGCCTATGCCCTGCCGCTGCTGCAGCGCCTGCTGGACGCCAAGGCGGTGAGTGGACGGGGCCCTTGGGTCTTCCCGGGGGGCTCTCCTCCCTCCCTCCCCCCTCCCTTCTGTGAGACGGAAGACCCCAATAGTTGAATCCTCACAATACAGAAAGAAGGTCTGGTTAACAATTCAAAGGTTTGTGGAAGGAAGATGAAAAAAGGGGGTTGCAAGTGCTGCCTCCGAGTCTCTTCCCAAGTTGGATTGAGGAGAGCAAAAAAGCAACTTTCAAGCCACACAGTTTATAGTCCCTCAGCAATGCACGCCAGGCCTAAGAAGCAGCAGCCCTCCCCCTTCTCCTAAGTCATTCTTTAAATCAGGGGTCTCCAAACTTGGCCACTTGAAGACTTGTGGACTTCAACTCCCAGAATTCCCCAGCCAGCATCACTTACTCTCTTGTAATCCCTTGTTGGAATCCATTCTGGGCCATGGGTGACCGCCACGCCTACACAAGGAGAAATAGAAAGTTACAAGCTGCATGGCATTGGGAGGGGAAAGGGCATGTGTGGGAGTAGCTGGCTCACATAGTTCATGTTACATGAGGTT